ATGCATACTGTGAAATTTTCAGGTTGATCCGTTGAATAGTTCGTCAGAAACGGCTAATTAACGCTCATCATGAAAAGCCCTGTATGCGTCCTTGCTAGTGTCATTGTGGGACGAAAATATCCTAAAAATGTATCAAGACGGCGTTTTTGTATCGAAAGTCAAACATATCTAGATATAATCTATTTTTGAGAGATTTGCATCAAAACCGATTTAAGTTATCACATTCTAAGGAATTCGATCGCACGTTTTTGATACGAGGAGTCAAGAATAGATATCCTGACATCGGTATAAAGGAGCCTTGCTGTCAATCTAGCAAGTACGTAAATATTCTCAACTACCTAAATACCTATTAACTGCCTATAAATGTGGATCTTACAAATATGGTAATAGGTAGATATTATTCATTCAATGTCGTATTGGTATCTTCTATTCAAAATTTCGAGATAAACTAATTAAAATCAAAACGCAATAGGCCCATGAGATTACAGTGTTTTCTGGAAGAAATTAACAAGAAAAATGAATCTCGAGTTGTCGACATGTGGAAATTTCAATTCACTACTCCCCCCAAGTAGCAAAAAGAAGTCGAGAGTCCATCGATGTTAACACTTTATTTTGATGATAAATAACCCTGTATACTTTTCTGTACATACACAGTAATTCGACCCCCACCATTGGGATCTCCTAAACTACAGGAGGTATGTCGAAACTTGAATTGGGGCAAAGTTGCGTTTTTTGTGCTTAGCAGCAGATTGTATTTCCAGAAATATCCGGAAACAACGGAAAATTGTAATTTTCATTTTTATTTTTTTCCAGCGTTATTTGACAACATAGCTCAAAACCAAAAACACATTTTCACAGATACTTTTTTCAGCTACACGTTTTCATGTTCAGATTTACTGTCCGACGTTTCGTTTTCTGGCAATCATAATCAACTTTTTTTTCTATTATGGGCGCCATATTTCCTCCAATTTAGTCTTCATGAAACACCTTAATGAAAGGATGAAATATGCTTAGTTTTTCGGAAAAACTAATAACTCACATTTTATTCCTTATTTCGGAATGTCAATTCTCATGATGTCTTCATTGAGCGAGTTTAATAAATGCTCGCATCGCTCATTTCAATTCCCTAAAGTTAGCGGTAAATTTGTGCAAACGTTTCCCTTTAGATGGCCCTTTATGGTATTTCTCCATCAGTACAGGCAATTGGTTACAATTCTCAAATCATAGATAGGAGTGCCATCTTGCTGGAAGATTATTCCATAATAATCCACAAGCAGAAAACTGAAAAAAAATCAATTTGGTGTTGAAGGTATTCAAAATGCATGTCATCATTAAACGCCTTATGAAATTGGATTATAATGCGCTTAGTGAAACATCAACTCTAAAATGCTCTTAATTAAAAGACTCCTCGCTCCAATTTTTGGTTTTCTCTAGCCCAATAACGAATATTGGCAATACTGGATTAACATTATAACAGCAGTCGTCTCTACGAACGATTGCTGTTTTGTCATATTCAACATTAGCTCATTCGTTTCAACTTCTTCGCTTAGTTATTAGCATTTCTATTCGAATCATTGCTTTGATTTATTTCTTCAAATATTGAACAAATCATGAGAATTAAATATGATTGGAGCATCAATTTCTGGAAAGCATTCCTGTTATAATTCGAAAGGACTAAGGAGTGGGTGAAATCTTAATAATATGAACGTAAAAATCAGTTTGAACATTCATTATTGTCATCATGAGTCATGGCAGGTTAATGATCATAGCAGTCGATGCCATTCACATCAAAAATACGGACCTGAATCACAAACTTGCGAATATTCGTTCTTATATTCATCTAGTGTAATATTCCTTTATACAAATGTAAATATCAGCTATTCATAATGATCTGTAAATCCAGACGATATTGTTCAGTATGATCAATAAATATGTCCATGCAGTGCTTCTCACAACATCCAAAACTTGCAAAGGAATGAAAAATTATTCTCAGAATCGGTAAATATCAACAAATGTATTTGTGTTTTTAGTGAATATGAATACTTTGCTAGGATGAAAGTACATAAAATACGAGAGTGGTCCCAAAAGTAACCGGCCTCACAAAGAAAACACAAAAATTTTGGAAAATAATCTATTTATTTCACAACATAATCTACTTGCAGCTCTATACACTTTGAGTTCAATACCGTTTTTATAATAAGAAATGTGTTGCTACTCAAAATATTCATTAACGCCGACATCACTTCTTTATGGTTAGAAAAGCTTTTTCAAGTTTGGGAACAAAAAATATTCCGAGGGGGCTAAATCTGGCCAATGAGGTAACAAATCAAATCCGTTAATTTTAGTCTCCAATTAAACGTTGCAATAAGTTCGTGTGATACTCGCCGTTGATAGTTTTATCTTTTTAAGATAGTCGATGAAAATTATCCCACGCGCATCCCAAAAAACCGATGCCATGACTTTGCCTGCAGATGAAACGATCTTCGCCTTCTTTGGAACCGCTGCTCCCTTTTTGAGTCCACTGTTTTGGTTGTTATTCTGTCTCGGGTGTAAACTGATGGACCCATGTTTCATCCATGCTTATGAAACGACGCAAGAGTTCTGCTTTGTTGATGTGAAACTTCGCTGAACACTCAATTGAAACATCTTCACCACACTTTGTTCGAGTGTGAGCAGACGCGGCACCCATCTTGCATACAGCTTTATCATGTTCAAATTTTCAGATAATATACGATGTACCGCACTTTTCGAAATACCTACTAATTCTGCTAGCTCGCGCACTTTCAGTTGACGATCATTCAGTATCGCTTTGTGGATTTTCTTCACCCTTTCTAGAGTCGTCACCTCATTTGGTCGACCACTACTATGTTCATCTTGGCAACTCGTACTGCCTCGTCAAAACTCTGCCACCCAATATTTTACTATTCTAAACGATGGAGCATACTCACGCAGAGTAGAATCCAGTTTAGCTTTTATATTGTTTAGGCTGAGGCCATTCAAATATAAGTATTCTGTCATAACGATGACCAATTTTCACATATTTTCACAAAACTGCTTTACCTCAAACCAGTGGTCTAGAATTTATCTTCCAAACATATTATTTTCGTCAACAATACTTTCAGAATATCAACTTTCGGAGAACTAAGAAACCTAATGTTTCATAGAAAATTCAATACAAAATGAAATTATTTTTCTTTATTTTTTCAACGTAATCTTACGGCAATGACCCAGTCGGATATTTTCATTTTCTAGTATTTTTTGCATTTTCTGCAGATAAAATGGCTGCACAACCTCACGTGAAATCTACTAATCTACAGTTTGATGTTAGTATTCAAGGACAAACTCTTACTCAGTACAGTTTATTGTACAACATCCACACTTTTGCTTACATTTTATTCTTCTTTCTCAGATAAGAGATTGAATCATTGTCTCCCCTAAATAAAAGACCTTTGAGTGTACAAAAAGAAACATACGTCTGATATACTTTTCTCTTTGGTTGTAACAAACTCTTCGTTCAGGCATAAAATAATGTATTCTGAAAACTAATGTGTTTACAATTACGTAAAAAATATTTCCGCAACTTCTCTGTGGGAGCTCAGTGTGTGGTAGAAAATTTCAAATGAGCATGAGCAATCATGCATGATTTCTGACCGTGTTGACCTTTCCTTGGTAAAACGTTGGGACGTTTGCTAGTGGATTTAGACGCAGTAAAATGATCAAATAAAACAAAATCCATGATTCCATTCATACAAAGTCACGTTTTATGCGAAGGTAGTGGCCATCTGGTTGCGAAATTCATTGGCGTGCGTCTAGGACTCGCTGACTCTATATGACTTGACCTCTGAACGTCTGAACGTTTATCTAACTGTGAAATGTTTGGAGTCTAACACCGGCAAAATTCTAAACGCCCTAAAACGGCGTCCAGAGAGAAATGGGTGGTGGCAAAGAAAATGGTAGATTTGGAGAATACCAAGTGGGTCATAAACTCATTTCAACTATTCAAGTCAACAGAACCAGATGACTTTTATCTAGTTACGCTACAAAAGTATTGGAATTTGACTGAAATGTGCATAATCCTCTTAGCAAGTTAGTCTCTGGGATGCATTTTAAAAATATGGAGACTCTTAAGGGCCACATTCATTTCGAAATCAGAAACGACTTCATAACAAGGAATTACTTTCAACTATTTTCTTGAATAATGAGGGTACATATAACAAGTGTCAAATTCCCAAAATGCAAGTCAAAATCCAGACTTAACTATCTCAAAATTTCCTGTTTAATAATCGGAATTTCGCTTTGATTTCGAAACTCCACCTTTGAACTTGGTTAGATATTATCGAATTAGGTTAGTTTTAATGACTTTAAAATTAGGGTTCGTATAATGAAATACGGACAACTGGCGACCTACACGGTGCGCTTGACATATGACCTTTTAGTAAATTTTCGTAAATTAGGCTACATTATTGCAATTTTTTAGGAATTTAAAATTTCCTGTAAATAAAATATAATCTATGTTACTCGCTGATAGTGTAACTTTCTATACGTGAAAGAATTGTTGAAATCGGCTAAATAGTTTATGAGTTTATCCATTACAAACAAGAAAACATACGAAAAATAATAAAATCAAATATCTCCTCTTCATAATAATAATGAAAGTTAAGACATCTGGCGTTGAATAATTCCACAAAGCAAACTGTTTACATCATCTCCTGAAGACGGCAATTTGGTCGATTAAACGCGAGTCGAGAAGAGTATTGCATTTCTGCAATATGTATGTATACCCGTTGTAGTAGGAAGGGCGTACTAGCAAGGGTTACATATTGCAAAACAAGATCGAATAATGAATAAAAACACCTCACAACCAAAGTATGGACCCGTTCGTTCACCTATTATAAAAAATATGAAGCGGCTCTCTACGAGAAATTTTTGATTCCGTTCCCAACTAATGAGCATTTGAAAATATTATTTGGATCACCAAACCTCGCCAAGGTATTTCTCTACCTTTGACTTTATTTTTCAGTTGAGGTCCGATTCTATGGCAAGCGTCTATTCTGGTGCCGGAGAAGGAAGGTATGGCACGGTAACAGTCAGAGGTCAAGTGGAATTCGGTCTCCAGTACAACTACAAAGCCGGAGCGCTAGAAATCCAAATAAAACAATGCAAAGACTTAGCTCCAGTAGATGTTAAACGAAACCGATCGGATCCTTATGTTAAGGTGAGTGAAGATTCAAAGGAGTCGTTTTATAAGAGACAGTTATTTACGTGATGTCTCAAAATCAAATGCTAATATCAGATGTTACTGATTCCGAATGAAAATATACCATTTTATAAGAAGGGGTTGTGTAAATATTTTGGTTCATAAAATAGAGTAGAGTAGAGCACTTTATTTGACCTTTTTACATACTATAGTACATTTATGGCAAGTCGCGAATGCAGAAGTCCTTGTTTGGAGTTACAAGGATCTATTTAAAAAATATATAAAAGTGAAGATTGTAGATCAAATAAAACTATATATACAAAATCAATAAACCAAGAACTTAATGAGGTTTTTCATAAGTTAAAGGCCATGTCTTGTCAATATATTCCTCAATGTTATAGAAACTTTTTAATAGTAGATTTGAATTTTGTCAAGCTTAATGCCTTCATAGATAAGTGAGGATGATTATACAAATGTAAGTTTAATGAATTTTTCTTACTAATTGTTAATTTATGTCTGGGATGGTTCAATAATCCTGCGGATCTCATTCCATATGCACGAATATCACAATGTCTGTCAAATTTATTAAAGTTTTCATGGTTCTCTAGTAAAACTTTATAGATATTTAATGTTGGAAGTGGCATAATTCCAAGTTGAAAAAAAAGAAGACGACAGTAATCTTCGTAACCTACTTTGACTATGATTCTTATTGCCTTTTTCTGGCACCTAAAAACACCAATGAAGTTACCCGAATTATCCCAAATCAAAATACCATACGACATAACTGAGTGAAATAATCCATAGTAGGTTCTTTAGAGCGTCTTGAAGCTGACTACATTATTGAATCGTCTCGGCACAAACAAACAATGGAAAGTTTGCAAGTCACAGCTTTGATATGACCAGCTCAATCTATTATCAATAATGAACCCCAAAAATGTATACTTTTTGATGGATGCATATTTGGATTGGAAGATACAATTACATTTTGTGTTTTAATTTTATTCAGACTTAGCTTATCAGCAGCAAACTTTTTATAGACTAATATTTCGCTATCTCGCGTCATTAGTTGTAAGCTGGTGAAGTCTGCTAGACTTCACCATAATAGAGTTGTATATCTGCAAATAAGGTACATCTTGGTGGTTTTATAAAACTGCCTAGATCATTGATATAGATCAAGAACAATAGTGGACGTAAAGTGGAGCCCTGAGAATCGCCATGCTTCATTTCTTTGAGGTCTGTCTTTATGTTGTTCACTTCAACATATTGGTACCTGTTTGTGAAATAAGACTGGACGAGCTTGAGAGCTACCCCTCGGACACCATAGTTACTAATTTTTTTCAATTCAAATAGTATGCGATATAAGTCAAAAGCCTTCGTCAGGTCGCATAGCATCAAAGAAGAGTGGTTTCCCTGATCAAGTCTTTCGACTTTGTTGGAAATTAGATTGTAATTTCAAAATTTTTCAAAATTAACTCAATTACTTTCCCATTTATAGATATTATGCTAATTGGGCGGTAATTATCCTGTGAAGATTTAGAACCTCTTTTAAATATTGGAATCACTTTAGATGTTTTGAAAACATCTGGAAATATGCCTTCCAAAATAATTTCGTTGATTAATGCCGTTAGTGGAATTGCAATTATGTCGGCCACTGATTTTATCATCTGGCTATTTAGGTCGTGTATATCGCGAAAACTACCGTCCTTGAGAGATTTTATCGTAAAAACTACTTCCTGAAGACAGACAGGCTCCAGAAAAAAAAATTTGCAAGGTGAAGGAAAGCTCTTTAAGTTACTTAGGTCATTTATTGAGAGATCAGGAAAAGCTGTAATAATATTATCAGCTATACTGCAGAAAAAGTCATTCAAACATTGTCCTGATATATCTACTGGTTTATATAGATTTATGGGCTTTCATTCGCTATTCATTATAGTCCAGCAGGCTTTGGAAATATTACTGGAACTTAAAATATACGGTTCATTCGCTTCTTTTCTTCGTTTTTGTAACTGGAGGATATAATCTTTCGTCAGTGCCCTGAATGTCGCCATATAGTATGGATTTCGAGACATAACTGCTGCGTTTTGTGCAGCCTTCTCACTTCTTCAAGTGTATCATCAAACCATGTTAAATTCGAGTTATTTTTTGTGGGTAAACGTTTCTTTAGTGTGAAAGATAATTTGATGGATTTCACAAGAAAGTTGATAAGGATTTCTGAAGAAAGACTCACACCAAACTGTTTGCTATTCAGATAATCCCAATTCACTCCAAGTAAGTGATTTTTTAGACCTTTTCTGGTCACTTTTTTCTGTGTCCCTTTTCTCTCCGGGTCCCCATTGGTGGTAGCAAACTGCCAGAGAGACAGGGGTCAAGAACACCAGTGTAATATGAATTTTCAGGTAGGTTTGATATTATATTTATGCATGTAGATGATTGAGCAGTTACTCGTGTTACGGTTATTTTAAGGCCATAGGAATCTAGCAAACATTTAAGTTGGAAATATGAACTTGACTCAGAAATTAAATCTATATTAAAATCTCACAGTAAAAATATTTTCATGTGGTTTTTTAATAACTGAGATAGAAGAGCATCCAGGTTTAACAAAAATACATTGACGTCCCCTGTGCATGATCTGTAGAGACAAATAATCAACATATTCGTTTTACATGTAGTATGCGCAGCTCCAAACTGCTTAAGAATCATGAGTGAAAGTTAAAAGTTGGCGAACTTCATTAGTTGATAAGCTAAGTTGAGCAACTGAATATGTTGCGTGGATGCTGTCATTAGTTATCGATCATTCAACTTCTCGAGTTAATTTACCTACTTTTGAATTAAATTGGCTCGCATAATTCCACCTTTATTCAAATAAATTCAAATCATAGAACAAAGCTGAGTTCAACTCTTTGCAAGACGTGGTGGATCTGTGGTCTAGATCTAGAGGAAAATTGAATCAACTTGAAACGAAATTAACTTGTGTCATTGTACCGGAAAAATTCCATTAATTATAGTTGCCTGATCAACTGGCTGTAAAGCGTGTCATTTCGTGAAATACATGCCATGAAGGCTGAACAATACATGTTCAACTTTATCATCATCCTATTCATTTAGATTGCAAACTAGCGTGAAATATCCGGAATTTCTAGAAAGTACTTATAACGAATTATAATTTATTAGTTCCCTATAGACCGGCACGTTTCTCAATACTTTTGTTATTGCCTTCTGTGGTTCTTTGTTCATCTCTTTCGTGACCAGTGCTACAGGCAAAACCAATATTTTGACAATGAATAATATTTTAATATATAGCAAAAAATAAATGCATACTTTCTAGCTTGAAGACAGGGAATCTATTATTGACTCTTTCTACTCATAATGATGAACGACATTATTCTTGAAAAAAGAGAATGAGGTGTTCTGAAACGAAGGCTCGCAATGGATTATACCTGGGTGTCTTTATATGATGTATATTTATTCGCATCAAAAGGACAATAAAGTTTATTAATAGCAATCATATGTTAAGATGCCTGTTATATGTAAAAGTGATCTGCTTTCAAGCTAGCATTCATTCTCAAATACATTTACTCTATTTATTGCCAAAACATTTATGTGTAATTTTACCTTATCAAAACGTTTTAGGCTCAACTATTATCATTCTTTCGCTTTCTCTAATTTTTTCTGGCGCTCAGTTCCGTTTACCTTCATAATTGTTTCTAGCAGGCATTCATCATTTCTACTGGTGGCATCTAGAATCGTACTTGGTAAACATAATTCTTTTTGTGAGTGGCAGGATCTTACTTGCGAATTTACATTGATAGGAACATTTTACTCAATATTTCTTGTGTACGATTTTCTCTTCTCAGTATCTCACTCTCGAATGATAAGGAACATTACCTATCACAATCTCGCTATTAATATCCTACATTTTATACTGTCTCCCAACCAATAATGCATTTTTCCTCATCTAATATTAAAATAATTCATATAATATTGAATATTACTGGAGTTTTTTTTAACACCAAATCGTTATTTTTAACACCTCGACACGTGTTTCGATCACCAAGTGATCATCTTCAAAGAGGAAGATTATCACTTGGTGATAATCTTCCTCCCTTGGCGAGGCGACGGCCCTTCCTACTATACTATAATTTCAATATAGTAGGCACTAAATTCTCAAAAATAAATGACGTTATTGCCTTAATACGTCTGTTGCAGTGACGTACGGAAATTATACTAAACAGATGAGGAAAAATGAAATATATAGAATCACAATCTCAACAACAATGTTTTCGTATTTAGTGCCTACTATTATGGATAATTGTACTATGCTGAATACCACATCAATATAAGTACCTTGCTAATTGACTTGATTAGTTCCTAAGTGCGAACTAATTTTTTCTTCCTTTAACCAAAATAAGAAATAGTTTTTTCATTCAGAAGTTTATGTTACATATTAAAATAACTAATGAAAATATTTAACGATTCAGTTTTGAATAATTCTGAAAAAAGTTTCCTATTTCAGGGAACTAGAATAATCTCTTTTCGAATCCAAAATTTCGGTGTTTTTTTTAATATTCGCCAAAAACTAGGATTGTTGAATTTTGTTTTTTGGCTCTACCGCCTTCATTTCGAATTATATAAAAAAACACAGAGGACCTTTCAATGTGTTTTATTTTGGTTATAAACTGATATAAACCAATTTGCAATGTGTTAGTTAGATTTCATCATCAACTTATTTTTTTAAATACGGACTTTCTGTTTTTCATTGGTTTTTGTAGCCATTATAATATCAAATTCAGCTAAGTATTTCAAATACCAAAAAAATTATTAACTGTGATCGGTTTTCAATTTTGCAGCTACATGATGTCAAACGTTTTGAGAACTCGATCATTCAGAACAAAACCCTACCTTCTTACTATGTTTTGGGTATACGAGTAGGTATTAAAAAATAAACAAAGCTTAATCAATACAGAATCTGCTGAAGTGTAGGTAATGATGGGCAAACTGTATAATATAACCACTGAAGAGTCCAATTAGTCAATAACTTTTCGTAATCATAAGTTTTGCCTTCAAATCAATAAAATCAATTTAATTTTAATACTTGCCTTTCTTTAGTGGTCGATGTTTCGGACATACGTCAAAAGAATGAAATACTTATTCAGATCTCATATGCGATAGTCTCATGCATACATGGATGTAATCAGTTAAGGTTCATATTTTTCTTTTCAACCTCTCTTCTTATTAAAATGGCAACCATGTACGATCTATTTCCACAGAGCTATTTGAAATACCTACACTAAAGAATATATGCGGATTGAGTTTTCTGATTTTTTTAGAGTTTTTTGGTGATAATTTTTGTTTCAGTCCATTCTATAGCGTGATCCCCAGTTGATTTNCAGTCCATTCTATTGCGTGATCCCCAGTTGATTTTAGAATATGCTCCTTTCGGAGCTTTTATTGTTAATATTTTTTTCTATGTTTTACGTCACTAAAGAATATATCCTCAAATTAATTTTGATTTTTTAGGTGTATCTACTTCCTGACAAATCGAAAAGCGGAAAACGAAAAACAAAAGTCAAGAAGCACACTCTGAACCCAGTGTTCGACGAATGTCTGAAGTTCCATATTCCCTTGAATGGTTTGGAAACGAGGACGTTATGGTTGACAGTGTGGCATTCAGATATGTTTGGAAGAAACGATTTTCTAGGAGAGGTCATGATGACTTTAGAAAATAAAGTTTTCGATGATCCTACTCCTAAATGGTACAATTTACAGGAAAGGGTAAGTGTTTAAAGTTCAAGATATTGAAATTATCTCTCAATTTTTTTTAAATATAATGCGAACTTAGTTAGCTTTCGTAATGCATTCACATCATTTTTCAAAAGTATAAATAGAAGTATAGTTCATGTTCATAGTATGATCATCAAAACGTGAATGCTTGGATCAATCATTTTATTAGTGTAGGCATTACAAAATATAAAGAAATTAACATAAAAACATAAAACTCCAGAAATTATTAGGTTGTTTCAGAAGTGAATACTTATTCAATTCAATCGAAATAAGCGTCATTTGAATTGGTGCACTTTTGCCAACGTAACACAATTCCGTCAGCATGAAAATTGAGTATTCGGGATTTGATGAAGTCGACGAAGGTCGTTTTTGTCTGCTCCTGATTGGCGAAGGTTCTACCAGTTAGAAAATTATCGAAGTGCTTGAAAATATGGTAATCAGTTGGCGACAGGTCTGGGGAGTATAGTGGGTGAGGCAGAACTTCGACGCACAATTCATTTAATTTTCGGACGGTGATTTGTAGAACGTTCGGGCAGGAGTTGTCGTGGAGCCAGTTCCGGCTGCTGCTGACCTAATTTTCGGTACATTTCGTCAATTTTCTCACAATAGGAATCTGCTGATGGTTTGGCCCGGTTGCAGAAAGTTATAGTGAATTACACCAGCCGTTGATCACCGTACAAAAACCATGGTCTTTTTTGGTGGGTTTTCACCTTTGAAAAGCGCCCAAGCGGCTCATCCGTGTCCGACCACTTTCCTGAATGTCTCATGTTGTAGACGATCCACTTTTCATCATCTATGAGCATCAGATCCAAAAAGTATATTTTTGATTGTGCATAGAAGAACAAACGTTGAAACTTGACAATTTCTGTCAATCGTTCAAATCATAGGGCACCCACTTTTTGAGCCTTTTGACCTTTCCAATACGTTTCAAACCATCAAAAACCACATGGGACCTGACACCCAGTTCTTCCCCCATCCCACGCACCATTTGTGATGGGTCAGTCTTCACCAGGGTCCTCAAATCCTCGTCCTGGATTACTGTAGGTCGACCACTTCGGGGCTTATCCTCGAGATTGAAATCTCAGAAACAAATAGTGCTTTTTTAACACTATCATTGCCAAATTCCTGGTTAATTTTCCGGGCTATTTCGGAAGCGCTTTGTTTATATTTGAATTCGTTGAGAAAAACTGGCGGAAAATTGCCACAGTAGAGTAAATATTAATTGAGATATAGAGCTACAAAAATACATGACAATAAAACGGACAAAACTTTTGAAACAAATTAATAATAAGTATTGTTAAGATGTTTGGCATTACACATATACTTCAAGGATATCAGTGAAGCGTAATAGCAAAACCTATCAAAACATTGAAATTATTAACATTCTATGATCCTCCTATTTTACATATTTACTGAAGTATATAAGTCCGTCTTTTAATAAATAAAAATCGACTTCAGTAGATATACTTCAATACTTTTCCAGGACTTTCATTTAAGATCCTGTTTGTTCCCAGCCAATTGAAAAACTAGTTCGCTTTCTGTATCTTCTGTATCTTATCACTTAGTTACAAATTCACTAACTTTCGCTCTTTCATGGTCTGTATTAAAAAAATTGCAATCAAAGTCTATGGAAGATTTTTTCTATTAAAGGTTATATAATACATCAAGTAAAAATCTTCCGTTGATGATCAGGACCGAACTTGCCCGTGTCAATATCTCAACTCATGGTTCTAGAATTACCTTCATTCCTGCTTTTGAACATGACTTTGAATTATTTCACAACATGAGTGGTACTCAATCCGGAGTTTGTAAGAGTATGATAACGACAAATTCTTCACTTTCTTTTACCATAAAGGCTTAATTCTGTACTTGAAAATCCATATCGAAATTGTTATCACAGTAAACTGTATCAGTAAAATCCGTCAAATTTCTTTCAGATAAGTTACCTTTTGTTATAAGCTTTACCTTTCTAGGACTTTGGCATAGTACTGTGTGCTAAAGTCATCACATTTGTGTTTTCTGCTGCTATATGAGTATTCGATTAGTTCGTTCGAGTCGACATACTGCCTTGCTGTTTACAATTAAGTAGTTTTTCAGATTTCATTTCTGATGCTATTGAAACATATTAATATTGCTTTTACTGTTTTTTTCAGACTGAACCCTTTGAAGATTTCCAATCATACAAAGGTGACATTATAGTTTGTCTTAAATTTGTACCACCTGATATGTCAGTTCAGAAAAAAGGAAAGAGATCAAGAGGGGCTCTCCATGTGTTGGTCAAAGAAGCGAAGTCATTAGCAGCCGTAAAAGCAAACGGTACATCAGATCCTTTCTGTAAAAGGTATGCATTTATCAATACATCATGACTTATTCAATGAAAGTTTTCATATGGTCTGCATGGAAAATTTTAGTTTTCTATTGAATTTTTACTCAATGTCCTGGAAGTATATGAAATTGAGACAATTTCATTGATCTTTTTTTTTAAATTAAAGAGTATTATTGAGATATAATCCGAAATTTTAGATCACAGAACACCAGGCCACCATCATTTACAAATTCAATATTTCTTCAATTTTAGTCTTCTATTTCAAATCCTTGATAAATATATCTCTACTCCTATCACTTATTCTCAATTTCCATTTCTCATCTTATCATTATCCTTATAATTTTTGATTATTATTTTTTTGTCATACAGTTATCTGCTTCCTGATAAAGGCAGAAGTTCGAAACAGAAAACTCCTGTAGCTAGAAGAACAGTCAACCCTGTATGGAATTACACTTTCATTTACGATGATGTGACATTGCAAGAGCTGGCAGAAAGATGTTTAGAGTTAACCATATGGGATCATGACAGATTAGCAAGTAACGAGTTTTTGGGAGGAGTAAGGTTTTGCTTAGGAACAGGTAATTATATGATATTGAATGAAGCAGCAATATTCAATATTGAATCTAACCTTATAGCTCATGCAAGATCTCAGAAAATCAGGAAATATTAATTTTTTTCACATTTGTTACTTTTACTTCTCCAATGTAGAAGTTTATCGAGATGGTAATTGTTATTGTTTAGCTGTGAAATTGGTGCAGTGGTAGTATCAAATCAACCTTTGGCCAAATATTCAATTCATTTTATTGTCCAAAAACATTGAATGCTGATAATTAGGGACTTTAAATAACTACAAAATATTTTGAAATAACAGTTAGAAAAAGATGATATTTCACAAGTAACACAATGAAATGCAGTCAGAAATGAAATCGGTTTCAGAAATATATGTAATTCTGAATCAGTGTATGTTGAAAGTGGATTCAAAAGTAATAGAAAAATAAATAAAATGCCAACTATGAAATTGAACTAATCAGAATGTTTCTCAATTGATATTTTAATTTCGTAATTGAATAGTGCGTTTTTATCTTTTCTGGAATGATGATCTCATAATGATATATCGACTGTATTCCAAAATTTGTTATATTTTAGTTTTTCATAGTAATTTGGTTTGTCTTGTGACATGATGTCCAGTTTCAATAAAATTGGAGTTCCATTTCTTTGTATTATTTTTGACAGACTGATGCAGCTAATTTTGAATTTACACAGTGGATTCAAGTCCTATTAATAGTTGGTTTCTATAAGTTTAATGGTGGTTCCAAATATGGTTATTTTATATATGCTTTCAATTATTTTGAATTGAATTGATTTAGTCGAAGGTTAATTAATTTTGCTGCAACCCAGATAGTTTGGAGAGTTATTAACATAACCTTCCTAGAATACGAAAATATACACCAAAAGAGAAAATATTAATATTTGATAGAATTAAGTATACAGATTTTTTTTTGTTGAAGAAAACTATTTATGCATATACATTTTTTTTGGCAGACCAGTCTTGAAATATTTTTTATATTCTTCAGGTAAACACTATGGTAAGACCGTAGAATGGATGGATGCAACAGGTAGGGAACTCAGTCTATGGAAAAACATGCTGGAGAAACCCAATTTCTGGGTAGAAGGATGTCTTTCGCTAAGATCAAGTCTAGACGCTCGTGTATCATAACAAAATACTCAAGAGATATATTTTCAATTCATATGTAATGTTACAATAATTAATGATAATTTGAAGTATTGTTAGTATGTTGCTGAAATGTACATGGGTTTAAAATGTGTAATCATTTCAAGATGTAAGTAAATTTTTATTACTAGTTATTTAACGTATACCTTTTTAGGTAATTGTAACTCTAACAAACTGATATATTTTCTTATAATAATAAATAAATGTTTTCTACGTTTATAACACTGTTTCATGTAGCACTATGTCTTGAGAACAAGGACTTAATAATGTCGTTAATACATTTTTCCAGTTATAAAAGAAATATTGCAATATTTAATATCTTTATTATATGATGGAGTTGGTTCTTAAATTTACGCATCAAAATACAGGATGATTCAAACTAAGTGCATCTCATTGGTATCTTTTGCTATTTTTTGAGATATCCGGCTTATTAGTGTGCAAGAAATGATAAAACAATCAAGTGCAATTTTTTGTCGTTGGAAATAATGTTTCAATTGTAAAATCAATTATCAATTCTTTTGTAAAGTTTAAAATAATTATATAAGTTGTGAATCTGAATGATGTGTTTATATTGAGACAATAATAAATTGTATTTCCTCTGAATTCCTAGATAAATCACAAGTGTAACTGGAATACAAGCATCCAAATCACCTTAGTTTTCATTTGCTTGCGCCGGACTGTCGGACTGGGTCCATTAATTTATTTTTCAGAGCAAGAGTTCCACGATTGTCACAATTTGGGACAGTTATATACTTACTAGTACAATATTTACTGAAAATGTTTTTTTATTGTATCTGGTATCTGTAGAGTAGGGAGGGTGAGTGTAGACTCACAGCACATATTAGGCCACATGTGACCCATTGTACATCCTTCCGAGGAATTGTCCTCTTAGGTCATCGTCCATCCTGTCCTTTCCAGGAAGGTGAACAGGTCACTAGCAGACATCTCCTTTATATTGGCAGGTGTAGACCAAGACTTGCCAAACACACACTCCCTTTGACAACCTTGAGGTGTCTTACGGTGGCCTCCGCGAAAGTTTTCGAAGGTGCAGCTATATTACTGTCGTTGCGCGGCTTCTTCAGCGTTCTTGGGGTTCCCTCCGTGGAGGTGCACAAGTGAGGGAGCTTTCCTGCAGGGGCAGCCGGTTCCTTGCCTTTATTCAAAGCGGAGCTCTTGGCGCCAGCCGCAGAAAGTGTCCTTGCTGTTGGAGGTGATCTGCTATGTCTAGCCTCATTTCAAGCGGTAGATTGGGGTGGACATTTCTGTTCATCCCTAGCCACCGCCTTAGATTGAGGTGAGCACTTCTGTCCAGCCTCGGAATTGGTTTTTGTTTTTTCTGTTTTTGTATTGTGTTCCCACAAGTAGCAAAAGGGAAGAGTTGGTCACCTCTGGCAAAGCCCTGCATTACCAGAGGTAGGCTGATTACAATGGAGTTTCGCCCAGTTCCCCAAGGGAATCGTTCGTGACCGCATATCAGCCTGCGGCCATTCAGCTGTCGGCACGATTCCTTACACCTCAGCTTGGATAGGCTGGTCCACGGTGGCATATTTTGCAAAGGCTTTTGGGGGGTTTTAGTTCCCCTCACCCTACTTATTTCTGCCACTGACCAGGAGTCCGGCGACCCCGTCTATAAGACCACATTGGCTTCCCGGACAGGGCCTCCAGTCCCCTGGCCGTTCCCCAATTCGCCACCTGGGGACGCGCCCAATAGGTAGCCCAATCCACGGGTTTTTTTTTAATTGTAGTTGAATGCATGAAATTCAAACTGAAAGCCTAAACTTCCAATTACCAATAATTACAATGTTTATAATATATCCATTTTTTATGTATTAGTTTTTCTTGAAAAAAATTACTGAAGCCACGTCTATGTTTGGATTGTACCTAATTGTTGATCATTTTCAAATAGCCATATTTGTCATATTTTTATTACATACTCAATATGCGCATTTCTTCTAAAAATAATCACCTTGATCTCTATTCTCATTTCTTCATCACTCATCACCTTTTCTGATGAAAACCTTTCATGTTTTTCTGATAACAATATATCTCAGATGAGTGTTAAAGATAAACAAGTCAGTTTTCTATAAAATACCTCTTTACAAAGATTATCTGTTAGGAGAAAAACATGTGCAGGAAAAAAATTCAACATACCAAAAGGAACTAAATTATGCCATGTTGCACTGCGATGGACCGTCCTACTTCAGCACTGCTGCTTAGATGAGAAACGACCTTAAAATTCAAATATTACAAGTATCATGACAACCAGATGTAAATGTTTTTTCTTGCATTATTAGTTGTTAACTATATATTATCCCTTTGTTAATATTAATGATAATTTGATATTACTATTTCTTTGAAATGGTGTTTCTTTTATGTAATTTTTTTCATACAGAAAAAAATGTATTTCGTGAGCAGAAAATATTTATCATTACTTTTTGAAAGTGTAACAAAAATTCAGAAATGAAAGTATTTCCGCTGGAAGACAAATGAAAAAGATTTTCATACATGTTAAGGCCACTAAATTGCAATTCTGGGTTATTTCGAAGACTACCATGAGAGATATTGCCAAAAATTCCAATCTGTTTCGAAATTTTTTGAAAAACAAATACCTTCGTTCCTTATAAATATGAATTAGATCAGGCATCAGTGACAGGAGATCCAGAGGAAAAAATTAACTTTCTTCTTTGGTACATCAATCACACTTGATAAACTATAAATGATTTTCAAAATGTTTTGTTACGATGAAACAATATTTTACATTTTTTTAATGCATCGAAGAGATTGGTTATTGTTCCCCTATTTCAAGATAGCTTCTTGAATGATGCAAGGTAGGTAAAGTTGAAGACTTCCATTCTGAATAATTTCTTGATGGATGCATTACCTACCCGTTTCTAGGAAAGGCCCTTTCCAATTGCCCCTCATGTCTTCTAACCTCACCCTCTTACTTTATTTCTGTTGTAGAATTATTTGAAGATTGAAATTTATAGAAAACAAAGTAGAAAATATGAGAAAACATTAGAGGTCTTATGGTCTGTAGATTATAATTTCTTGTTAATATAAATATAAATGATTCTGTTGTTAATTTCCTTGATCTTTTCGATCAGCTTTGGCTGAAAAGGGTATATAATCTTCGTCCATATACTGGTAGAAGGGTAACCTGTAGTACCCTTCAAAGAATGTAGTACGATGTAGGTAGTTGGTGCAGATGTGAGTCTCCTTCACTATGAAGAGGAACCTAGATGATCTAACACTACTTTTTTTCAAAGGTGAGGTTATTCCATATACAGCAAAAGTGAAATATTCAGGTACAATCATTTATAAAGAAATCACCTAGAACACTCACTTGGAAAAAATTCTACATAAAATCAGACTATCTAAAGTTCCATGACAGAGAGACATATTCATTTTTCCAGTTAACAAACACATTATGAGTTAACAAACACATTATAACAGTGATGAAAAGATTCGTACAAGGTGTAAGATTTAAAACAAGATGTTTCAAAATTCATTTCTGGGTATTCTTTGATATCATTGAGAACGTGATCATGTAGCAACTTATAGAGAAATATTTTGAATTATCGAATGGACAGCTCCAGATGATATATTTTTATACTAGTGTATAGTGGCCCCTTTCATGTTCCTTCATGATTATAATTTGGTAGCCCCCTGTCATATGCGATCGTACGTCAAAAAATTGTCAATTTACGGGACGGTAGCCTGGTAGGTTGACGTGGGTTGTTTGCTCCACCAAATCAATCGACCACTGTGTGAACCAGTGATTCAAACTGTAAGGTCGGACGATCGATTTTCACTTCCTATGGTCCAACCTGTGTTAGGAATCACACGCTTAAAGAAAATACCTCGTTAGACCTTAGCTCGTACAAGTTTACACTTTTGAGAGTTGTCGTTCATAGGGGGGCGACAGCTGGTTAATGGAAAAACTGATTTTAACAGGCTTTAACGATTTCTTATTTGTGTATCAATAAACAGATCTTGAATATTTATGAATCAGTTGAAGTAAATATTTTGTGTTCTTTGATCTTAGATCTGTATTATGAATGTGGATTGATGTTTAGTTGATATACTCAACAATTCTATTCTGTATTGCAGCAAGTTGTTGAACTGAGCAAAGTAATTGATATTGAAACTGCAATGTTTATATTTTGTTCAATCATATGAATTGTATGAATGAAGCTACTCGATTATTCAATGTGGATGGACTGTTGAAACTTTCGATCAATGTAAATGAATTAATCATCCTGTAAAGCTAGGAAAATATCATGACAATACTGTGATGAATTATATTCGAGTAACGACTTCAGCATTCCTGATATTAATGGGTCAGATTATATTCTTGACCTGTATTCTGTAAATGGTGCTTTAAATAATTCAAATCATAATTGAATTTGGTTCTTACAAATGTATCACCCTCCCCTGAAAATGTAATAAGTACTCACTTCTAGTTTGAAAAAAAAAACAGATAACTATAAATTGTACAACCTATTGAATAACTGGGAATGAAGTTATGCCATCACGCCATTTTCATTACAGTCTCTACTCAATTCAGATCAGTATATTCTTATTAAAAAAAGTGTGCTTCTTGAGACGCCGGACAGAAGTGATAATTTGAACTAATTTAATTTGAACTATGTAATATTGAAATCGTTCAACTTGTGAAAAGCTAAGGTTATTACTTAAAATTTTATGTATATTAATATGATAATGTAAGGAAAGGTTATTTTTTATTTAAATCTTTTATTGATTATTTTTTGTATGTACATATATTATAGCTACCATAAGCCAATTGTTACTTTTGTAGGAATAAATAATGATACTAATAATGTACATACACAAAAATATTATCATCATTTTCAAGTCACGGTTCACATAATGAAAGTATTACGTGCTTGCTGGTTAGATTTTTATAATGCTGTCAACAGTATATCTCTACTTGTGATGCACTGTTTGGAACCTTTGGTGTAGTACTGAATATTACTGGAGTTTTTTTCCAACATCAAACCGTTATTTTAACACTCCTACACGTGTTTCGATCACCAAGTGATCATCTTCAAGAGGAAGATCAAACTTTTGATCAAGGTGTGGAATTATATTTCGGGGAATGACCACTGATACCTACAAATAAAGTATGTATGCTACAAAAAAGGTGCCTGCGAAAAATCTTTGGTTTATCTATAAAAAAAAACTAATACTACGCCCTCTCTATTTTTATGTTCAAGTATCATATTTGTATCTGAAAATAAATCATTATTCATTACTTACCAAAGTACACATGATTACAACACTAGAAATAGAACAGATCTTTTGAACATATGTCCCGAGTTTTCATTCGTTAAAAGAAATAAATCATTTTCTGTCATAACTACCACAGTATTTCCCTCAGAGNACAAAATACCTTCTGATATACACTTAGAGAAAACTCCTTCTGACATCTCTTGTACATTTTTCATTTCACTCACACAAAATTAGGGAAAGCAATACAGTTTCTTCCCATGCATTAGTTTATCAAATAATAAAAAATATCATTTTTTATAATTAATACTATAATAATTACAATAACTAGCCCTTATATTGTTTCTGTTTTCTACAAATCTTTAAGATCGTGATTCGGGCTTATTTTTCGGAGGTTTAAATACTTTGATTTTTTTACTGGTCTTCTTGTCCTTGCTTTTGGAAGTGAAGGTTTGCCAGCTGTTGACTCGATTTTGGCGAGATTCCTGCAAAATATCGGGTTTAACATTAAAAAAAGATAATCAAAATATAACTGTAATTTTATCTAGAAACACCCAAAAAATTGTCTGTCTGATATCGCACATCTGTTTATGTGGGGGTAAATCAATATAAGACATCGGTTTGTAAAGTATCATTCAAAAAAAGTTAAGAAAGTGACAACGACAAAATGTGTACATTTCTTAAACACTCTTTATAATTTTGTTGAATTATTACTGAACATTGTACAGGAGGTTGAAAAACTGTCAAATTACTTGTTTCAATATTTTGATAAATCATATCGCTGGGAATTTATGGCCTCTACAAAAAGTTATATTTTTTCAAAAGTTTGAATAAAAAGTAAAACTGGAAACCATGGCGTAATCTTTTCACCAATAGAAAAAAAAAAAGAATTTGTTCAAATGATTTTGAAAAAGAATCACTAAATTCCTAGTCCAAATTATTCTTGCCATTTAGTTTTTGACTCCTCAGAAATAAAAAAAAATAGATAAATTAAAAACAATATTCAGACAATATTTCGGAGCTTAAAGTTGGAATTGATCAAAATCACGACTTTAAACACGGAATTTAACAATCCTGGGTTCAAGGCGAAATAAAATAAAATTCCGAGTTTGAACTCAGGAGTTGACAAAAAGCTCCAGATTGAAGTAGGAGTCTAACAAAATTATCATCATTAAATTATGCCTTCAACCTCCGACATTGTTAAAGTCCGACTATGAACTTTGACATTGACATTCCATTTTCACACTTGGAATTTCATTTTTGAAATTGGTAGATATGGTATGCTAGATAAATGTGAAATTCAGAATATATTGAACTGAATTGTCTCCCTAATTCTATTGCCCGTGAGTGACAGAAAATGAAGCCAGGGAGTAGAACAAGATATCATAACCTGGAAAGTTTGAACCGTGAAGTTTATTTATGATATTCAATTTTACTAAACCACATTTTGAACCATTTGAACTAATATCGATGATTATTACAATTTGTTGTTGTTGGAATGGATTAATCAACATAGACGTAGAAGATGTGGAGCAAGAGCATTTCGATAGGAACATCTTTCCACAAATTGCTCTCATCACCTTTTATATTCTTATGTATCTTAATTACGATTTTATGCAAAAAGAAGCCCTCAAGAAATTACATTAACAGAAACTTCTGCTTCACCAAACGTCACTTCACGTCAAGTGAAAACAGAAGTTATGTACTATCACAATTTTAAGCATTCGATTGGTGGAAAAGTTATTGTAAAGTTTGACAATATTTTTATTCGATTTCCATTCTCTTTTCTACTCCATTGTTTGAAGAATAATGTTTTTTAGAAGTGACAGAAAAACGAGGGTGTATAAATTCAAGAATAGCAGTTCTGATTGATGTTATGTAGTTTGTAAATTTGTTTAATGATCATTGCATTCGATTAATCACTCAGCCGAATTGGCTCACTCTTGACTTCCCCGTTTATCACAATGTGTAAAGAAGGTAGTTTCAAAAGTCTGACTTATGCTGCCATTAATATGGTTCTCATTGCTCTTATTATTCACAAAAAAAAACAAGATCAGCATGTTTTTTGCCTGGATGAATCAACAATTACAAATTTGCTAACAATAACCCAATTTGTGCTGAATTCATTAGAACAAAAATACCAAGTGGATGTAATTTAACAAGATTTTTCCAAGGCATTCGACACAGTTAATCATACAGTATAGCTTGGATAAAAAATAGGGTTTTACGGAAATTTATTGAAATGGTTTGCAAGCTTCTTTTTGGTGAACATTAGTAATGTTTTGCTAATGTCTACAAAAAATTCAAATAATGCACTTATATCAACAGACAAAAACAAAAAATAAAATTCATTTGTTGAGATAGTTACCAAGATTTCGATTTTTTCTGCTGCAATTCACTAACCTCAAAGTTTTTCTGCCACTCCTTTTGTGCTTTAGCATTTTCCTCATCTTCTATCTCTGCCTCTCGTTTCCGTTTTCTTTCTTCTTGGTCACGGTCAGCTAGTTCACGTCTTTTACGTTCCATATCTGCAAAGAGTTTCATTGTGAGGACATAAATGGCATGTTTATATTTAGCAGGATCATCTTCTGGTATGCCATCTTTTCCTTCTTTTTTAGCTTTCTTTCTTTTCTCTGCAAGCTACAAAGCCTCGTGAAATAAGTATTACAAAAAGTCATTCAAAATGGTAAACATTCACTTTAAGGCCTTGCTACTTTTGAAGATAAGCCACTCAAAAGTCAAAAAATGTACTATTTTAAGAAATCGCTAGGAGTAATAAAAACTTGTAAAATGAGAACTTTTTTTCACAATTGCATGCCACAGACCTATTTGCTTGCTACTTCAATATTTTCTTCCATACATAAAGTTAAATGTCCTCAAAATTGTATTTTATTCAGCATAGTTATTTATGAAACTGACTAACTTTTACATTAAATTTTTTCGTTAGTTCTTTTGGAAGTGTTTTAAAATTGAACTAGAAATGAATATGATGGCAAATTCATATGGCAATGGATAATATACAAAATACCACTTTTTTTGGCATTCAAAATATATGCCTGCCTAAATTGATTCCATGTTTTTGTTTGTGTAGCATTTCATTTGAAAGAAGACTTTTATTTGGAATTAAAAAAAAGGTACATATAATGAAATGAGATACAGCATTTAAGTTTGTTTTAAATGGCAAATACATTGTTAGTTATTGGCTGATGCTTCCATTTCTGTGATAATTCAACAACTATGCATTTGTTAAAAGTAATTTTGACAATATGTACAGTATACTTATATAATGTGTGAATATCTGCAGGGAAAGTAAAATTATCAAAAAAAGAACCAGTTACAGGTTACAGGTTACATGTTACAGGTTAATGGATCAGAAATACTGCTTTAAAAAACTGAGGATCTTTTTGTCTTCTAGGGAAAAGCTGAGTGAAATTTTCGAAATTTAGCAACATTATTTTAATTTTTTGACTCTGGAATGTTTTCTTCATACTGACAATAACAACAGCTCTAGTGAAGTGACAATATTATTCAGAATATGATTTCAAAAAGAGTTACTTTTGTGAACACATTTGAAATGAGTAAAGGTGTGTAACATATTATCTTGGAAAAAAAGGTGTCATTTAACTAGTTTCCATCACAAGAAATGAGTTCTTGAAATAGTATATTTAACAACTTTGAGTATCTGAAACCCCAAAAGTGTGTAAGTCTGATAAGAATATTTTCAAAAACTAGCGCGAGTTGTTAAAACGAATATTTACCCACAAAGTTTCCATAAATCTGGTAGAAGTATTCAAAGACACATACCATAATATCTGTTCTTCCTACGGCCTCTTCAATTATATCCATACATTTTTTCCTGGTTTCTTCATTTTCGAGTGTCTTCCAAGCCTTATTGACAGCTTCGAAGGCTTGTTGGGCCCTGTCAGGATCATCCTGGTTTTTATCGGGATGCACAAGAATGGACAATCTTCTGTATTTCTTCTTTATTTCTTCAATTGATGTATCTGGTTCGACTTGTAACACATCAAAAGGATTTAAATTTCGATAAGTGGAACCAGGTCTCAGCAATCTCTCAATCTGTTGTTTGGGTGTTAGTACTGAATCTCGTTTTTCAATTTCTTTCACCTATAATCACACATTAAATCATTATATCGGAATGCAACAAAGAGAGAAGGGTTCAAACTACTTGCCTCTGTGTAGAATTCGTTGAATTTTGTATCTTTTTCTGGCAGTGGAATATTACAAGTCATTTTGTCACTGATATACTTTTATTACAAGTATTCTATGTTACTTTTCCATCAAACCTCGAATGACCTTGTTTTAACAGTATTATGAAAATTGGAAACTAGAATTAGAAACCACAAACATAAACACTTTGATTTGCAAATAAAATAATACTTGACATTTGTCAAGATTTTTGTTCATGCTACACGATGTCAAATGTCAAATGTCTCTCTCTCTCTCTAGATTTTCTTGGCTTTTGCCGTACGGCGCATTTAGCCAGCTCTATTCGGGGGGTTACAGCGTTGTCTGATCGGTGATCATGCTGTAATCCATATTGTTTCTTGGAATATATTCTAAAATTCTGATGAAGACATTTCACATCTATCTTCAGGTTTATTATTCTTCTTCTCATTTCTCTCTAATATGAGCTACTTCAGAAATTACACGCAAAATTCCATTACACGCATATTACACGCAAGGGGTAAAAATTACAAGCATTTCGTGTAATTACACGCAAATTGGCATCACTGCATGCTATACGATGTCAAATGTCAAGACAAAGATTCTCTCTCTCTCTCTCTCTAGATTTTCTTGGCTTTTGCTTCCGTACGGCGCATTTAGCCAGCTCTATTCGGGGGGTTACAGCGTTGTCTGATCGGTGATCATGCTGTAATCCATATTGTTTCTTGGAATATATTCGTTCTTCGGAGACTTGTATCTGTGTATCTTCGTGTGCTAAGGATATAAGACAAAGATTAATAGCGTTTCATATAGGGACATAGGGAAAACTAATGTACATTTACTGTATTTCAGTTGGCTACCTGCGCAGAGAACTAGCAAAGAATTTAACGTTTCATGACCAGTAGTGGTACTACGATATTTGAATTTTTCCAGCTCACTCATTAAAATGGCAACACTTCAGGTAGGATTCAAGGTTTTAAGATGTATGTCGCAAGTTTTGATTTGTAGGACTCATGTTCTCATTCGGTACTACTGAAAACTTACAGCTCGTGCAATCTGAACGATTGAAATCATTTCAACACATTTACCCTATAATATTTCATTGTATCTTCAATTATTATATATGAAAAACAATAGTTACCAACTTTATTTGCTCGATACTTGCTGATGAAAGGTATTTATCTCTAACGCATCGTTAAATCTATCGTCATCTAACTAACAGACCGATTAATGTCTGGTGAAAATGTGCTTAAGCAATTAGAATCAGAGTAATAACTGGCCACAATGACCATTGATGAGAAAAATTGTACATGTTTGTGTGCATCCCAAACACAGAATAGTAAATGCTAAATCTTGGCTAAAATTGGCATTTTGCCGATAAAAGAGTGATCCGATCGATTCTTGGCTTTGTTGTTGTTAACTTGTGATATTTGTACCTTCAACTAATGATTTAGAATTTGAAACTGGTCCATCGAAAAATCACAAATTTGGTTGCAAGTCATCCAAAGCAAAGATTTTACAAAAACATTGTCATCATTCTTTAATTCTAAGACTATTAAATATATTGCCTCCACTATGATTAATTAATTTCCACTTTTGAAATAAAAGATTGAAAACTAACAATTTCCTGTCGCAAAGTTTATTCATATTTGATTGAATATATGATTATAGGGAGTTTGTAATCAGTTCATACCTATGAAGAATACAGGGTGTAACTAAATAAATGTAAAACATTTGAGGAGGTGATTCCTCATCGAAAAAAAGATAGGATCTTCCATATAAAAAAAAATTAATTGGAGCATCCCTTGTTAAGATACAGCCCCTTGAAGGGGGTACATAACATTTGTATAACAATTTTTTTCACAAGCACTAAAAAAGTTACAATATTGAAATTAACCTGACG